CGCGCTGCCGAAGGCGCGCGCGATCGGCTGGCGCAGTCCAGGAGAACCTGGCTTTCACACTTGCACAGCGGAAATGTAATGCGAGCGCTGCCCCCCGATGCCCGCAGCGTTGGCGCGCGGCCAAGCCCCCCCCCCCCCCCCCGCGCGATCGCATTTCGGATGGAGTCGGGCGGCTGGCGAGGGGACGCGACGGAGGGGAGGGGGGTGCGAGGAGCGGAGAATGCAGGACTGGCTGGTCCTGCGGAATGGCGAGCCGTCGAGGTGCCGCGGAAGCCATGTCGCCCCTGGCGAACCACCGTGCGATGCCGACATGCCACTGTGTTCGGCATGCCGACCAAGCAGTCAGCGACGCCGACAAATGGGACATGCCTGCCGCCCGAGGCACCTGTGTTGCGCTGTTCAGGGCATGGCCTACCTCGACGGTCATGCCCGAGGTGGGCGACCTCGCCGATCGTCGCCCACCTCGACACCGCTGCCGACCTGCCCGACGCGCTCACGCTCGCCGACCTGCGACCTCGCTCTAAAGCAGCCAGGAGGCTGTAGCACCTACGCGCACCTGGCTCATTCGCACGGAAACCCGACGCACACCAAGCATGTCGCGAAACACTCCTGCCCCGGATTGTACTGTGACAATGCAAAAACGAATTGTGTTGACGCCAACAAGACGCGCAGAAAAAATCGTACGGGAGGATGTACGGCCCGATCTTTTTATCGTCAAAAACAAATCGTCCATGGACGAAAAAAAAACGTACCTGGACGAAAAAAATGTGCATGGACGAAAAAAAATCGTCCATGGACGATTTTGTTGGCGATGCAACATCGACATTGCAACGGCGCGCGTGGACGAAAAAAATCGTCCATGTACGATTTTTTACATGCGTTTAGAGGGCAAAAAAAATTCGGGCAGCCTATAGTCACATTCAAAAAGTGCTGTTGACCAACGCGCAACCAGGGACAGTCACCGACGAGGCGACCCGAACCCTGACATGCCACTCCCGTCCAGATTCGCGTGCCACAGGTGGCTGACACAATCTACTTGCGCACGCCACGCAATACAAGTCAACAAGCGAGTGGGATCAGCGACCGCGCGCCAGGGACACCATGGCCGCGTTCCAGTGCACCCCTGGCTGGTGGCGCACGTGACAGCCCCAGGCGAGTGCATGATACAACACGCCCAGCACACACATTACATTACATTTTCCTTGGCCACCACCCGAACTGCACCGAAGATAAAACCGACGCACGCGCGCCACCGCAGCTCATCGAAGCCGCGTCCCCGCACCCAACTGACATCATCTTGACATATTGTGGCAGCCCAGCGCCGTGGCACCTGCGCCGTACAGGGACACGCCAAACACCGATCAATCAGAGACCCGAGGCGCGTGGCTCCAAATTGAGCGCCGCAACATGTCACAAAGACAGGTCGGACCCTGCCTTTGATCAACCATCGCGCCGAGACGACGCGCCGTCGGCCTACAGGCTGCTCCGCTGCCAATCTTGGGGCACGTTGGCAATCGCAACATGATGCGCACGCCAATGAGATCACAACCACCAACCACCACTGCCACTGCGGAAACCGACGCGGCCGCCGACGCAGCATTGCTGGCGGCGTTCCACCAGATAAACGCCACAACAAAAACACATCATGCACGCATTGTATCTAACACATGTAGCGTATGTGTTCGCATGTTAGGTCACGTATGGAAACTGTAGAGACGTTTGACTAATAACGGCGTTTGGCCTTATCCTTATGGAACGCCCAACTTTCAACCACATTTGCTGAGCAATAATGAGCTACTACCGTCAACGAACGGCCACCAGCCTTTATGCACCACAATGCCCCCTTACACCGCAGCATACACTGCACGCGGGGCCCTTGTGAACCTGCAGGGGTGCCTGTTGAGGCCCATCGAACCTAGTTGCCCCTATTGGAGGGTGATGGCAAGAAGTGCTATTTGAGACGCGGCATGCCCAAGGCCTCGGCCTTTTTGTGCGTCAGAAAAAAAAGACTGCGGCGTGCGACCACGCGCTCGAGACTGGAGCAATCCGCCGCAAATCCACCAGGTCACATGCACATGCGGCGGCGAACAGTGCAGACGACACCGCGCAAACTTCAGTAGCATTCAAATGAGCGCCAACACATCTTCGTGTTGCGACGAGGCACGCGGGAAGGAGGAGGGAGGGATGGTGAGGCAAGATAAAAGGGGCTGGGCAGGAAGGATGCGGATGCGATAGGGTGAGAATAAGTGATAACCCTGTCCGCCCCAATCGCATCCCTTGGAGGTGACAGGGCGGGAATGACTGGGCGAGGGCGGGGAGAGGAGACGATGGGAAGAAGCAGACACCCTTCAGCGTCCGACCTCACCCCCAATGACGAACCTTCATTCCCATACCCCTCTGCAAAAACACGGTGGACACCCCAACTGCGTTTCAATTACTTTGGTTCGTGGCCAGGCCCCCCCACCGCTAGCCCACGTTCGGGCGGTAATAGCAACAGCCTGGAGAGCCCGTCACATGACCCCGACGTGCCCATTTAGAATCGAACTGCTTGCACTGAGGCGCGGCTCCAAGCGAAACCATCGGGCGCCAGATCGGCGTGCAGCGCCGCGCGCTGGCAAACCTGAAACGATAGGCGCAGCCAAGCTATCGAACCTTCCTGGCTGTGGCCGCCGATTAAGCGTCACGCTGGGTGACTACCTACATTACGGAAAAACTCGTGTAGTCGCCGTCATCGCCCCCATATCGTCATCATCATCATCATCTCGTCGCCCTCATCAGGGCATGTCATCATCATCGTCGTCCATGTCGTCGTCATCATCATCTCGTTCGCCCTCACCATCTGAAACCCGCCAGGCGGCCTGACACAGCCAGCAGGTGGCGACGGGCCTCACCGAGCCAGACCTTCACTCAGTCGGACTCCTCAAACGAAGACGAAGCGATCTCCTCAGGATACGCCTCTGCAACTGCGACGGGCGGGCTTGCGGGGGCGCCTGCGGCGGGGCCTGCTGCTGGGTCCGCGGCGGGGCCTGCGGCGTCAGCGTCGTTGGCGCACACGTTGATCCTCTTGATGTCGGACGCGGGGGTCGCCTTGACCACCATGTGCGACGGCCTGGCCTTCATGGTCACGGTCTTCCCAGCGATCTGGGGCGCAACAAGCATAACCGAATGGCAATGAACATAGCAAGCACGCGCGAGCTAAACCGTAAGGATGATGAGGGTGCTGAGAAGGAAGAGAAGGAGGAGACAGAGGGCGAGGATGATTACCAGGAGGGCGACGAGGATGAGGAGGCGGAGGAAGATGGCACCGTGAGAAAGGAGAGCGGGTGGGGAGGGATAATATCACCCACCCTGCGTTGCCTTCTCTCCCTTCTCCCCCCTCGTCATCCTCATCCCGCTGTCCGTTGCGCAACGCAGCGCGCCGTCTGGCCAGATGCCTCTGCCTCCTGATCATGGCGCTCCTCCTCCCCTTCCTCATCCTCCTCGCGCGCTCCCCCATGTCCAAGGAACTGCTGAGGCAACGAAGGCGAAACAAATGCAGTCCTGGCGAGCCTTCTCTGGCGTCGGCGCGGCCACCTTCCCCTTGAATTTCACGAGGCGCGGGATCCAGATCACGGGCCGCTGCCTGAGCTCCTTGCGCACCACCTTGGGCAAGGAGTCCAGCACGCGGCCGACCATGTCAGGGTGGACCTGGGCTCACGGAAGAGGCGCGCGGGAAACGGACGGGCGCCCCACGGTGCCACGATCCTTGTGAGGGGGGTGCCGAAATCGCCAGAAGCCGCCATGCGATCCCTGTTGCTTTTGGTGGAGCTCCCTGTCGGGCCACGGTCCCAGCGAGGGGTGCACCGAAAGGGCCCGAGGCCGCCATGCGAACCCTGCCATTCGGGCCTTCGGTCGGGGCCCCCGATCGGGCCACGATACTCGCGAGGCTGGAGCAGAAATTGCCAGAGGCCGCCATGCGAACCATGTCACTGGGGGCGTCGGTGGAACCCCATATGGGGACACGGCCCTCGTGAGGGGTGTGCCGAAATGGCCAGAGGCCTCCATGCGAACCCTGCCATTGGGGCAGCCGGTTGGGCTCACTGTGAGGCCACAATCCCAGTGATGGGGTGTGCCGAAAGGGCCCGAGGCCGCCATGCGAACCCTGCCATTCGGGCCTTCGGTCGGGGCCCCCGATCGGGCCACGATACTCGCGAGGCTGGAGCAGAAATTGCCAGAGGCCGCCATGCGAACCATGTCACTGGGGGCGTCGGTGGAACCCCATATGGGGACACGGCCCTCGTGAGGGGTGTGCCGAAATGGCCAGAGGCCTCCATGCGAACCCTGCCATTGGGGCAGCGGTTGGGCTCACTGTGAGGCCACAATCCCAGTGATGGGGTGTGCCGAAATGGCCCGAGGCCGCCATGCGAACCCTGCCATTGGAACCTTCGGCGAAGCCCTTAATGGGGCCCCGATCCTCGTGAAGGTTGTGCCGAACTGGCCCGAGGCCGCCATGGGAACCCTGCCGCTGGCGCCCTCGGTGGATCTCGGTATGGTGCCATGAACTGCGAGAGGGGTGTGCCGAAATGGCCCGATGCCGCCTTGCGAGCCTTGTCATGATACGTTTGGTAGAGCCCCCCCCCTGCGTCCACGATCCTCGTGAGGGGTTTGCCGACAAGGCACAGGGGCGCCATGAGAACCCTGCCACTGGCGCCCTCAGTGGAGCTCCCTATGAGGCCGCGGTCCTCGCGAGGGGTGTGCCGAACTGGCCCGAGGCCGCCGCGCGAACTCTGCGGCCGAGACCAGCGGTGGAGCCCCCCCCCCCCCATGTCGTCGCGAAGCGCTGCGACGAGCGTGCCGAAAGAGAGGCATGCGGATAGCAAAGGCAAGGACGGTGAGGAGGAGAACGGAGGAGGGGGAAGATGCGGGAGGATAGCAGGAAGGAAGAGGCACGCGGGGCACCGCCTCTTCAAAACGATGACCCAACACCGCAGGACATTTGGGAATACATTCCAGAGGGGCACCCGACAAGCGCCATTCTGGGCGTACACGTCGTGGTTCATCTCTTCGGCCACCTTTTCGCACAACTTCCAATACGTGATGGTGGCCTGATACGGCTTGAGCTTCTGCGGGGGGCGCGCAGGCTGTGCGCCGCCGTCGGCAAGCGCCTCTGGGGGATCCTCGGCCGCTGGCGCCGCCGCGCCGAGAGCATCGGCAACCCTGTCGGCCATGACTGCCCCCTGGTGAACGGAGAAGATTGGCCGTTGCCGAAACGAGGCGCGATCAACTGCTTGGCAATCGACACGGCTATGGAACCAGTGCGCGTGGCGACGACACCGCCACCCCCCCACAGGCAGGGCGGCGGCGGGCCACGGGGAAAGTTATGAAAAGGAGAGGGGGACGTGGAGGCGCGGGGGGCCGTGGAGGCAGGAGGCGGAGAAGGTTTGAAAGGATTGGCAGGCGGAGGTAGAGCGGGGGAAGGAATAGTGCCCAGCTTCATGTTGCGAGGGGGTGCACTCGGTGAAAGGCGAACCCTTGGGACGATCATGGTGGACGCCCTCGCCCTCGCAACTGTCGTTGTGCGCTCCGGCACCCCCCCCATGTGAACTACAAACGTACTCTGGCATTTCAAACACGAGCAACGCCCATTCGGAAACGGCCCCGCGGTTAGCACAATGTTCGTTTCATTTGGAAACACACCATCCAATCGGACCTACCGCATCAACCTTCTAACGAATAGACAAGAGAACCGCAATTGCGGGGCTGCAATTGCGCACGGCGCGAGGGAAATGCGCACCGTGACGGAATCATGAGATGCAAAACCTGGCAACCCAGACGCAACGTCAACCCGAGCAGCTGCGGATGCCAAATGAGGCCAATGCTGTGCTACTGTGGGTCTGGTTTGGCTTATTGTGTCAGCCCTTGGTGCGTGCATGTGCGATCCCCAAGAGGCCTCGAGCGGGGCCGAACGTGCGAACGGCCATATGGGCAGTGCCTCACGGTGAGGGTGAACGACAAACATGGGACCTCATGACGATCGTTGGCGTTGGCGTGGGCATAAAAAATCAAAATGCATCCCAGAACTTACCCTAGATGCCCTTTGGCGCGCGTTCCGTGGCACTGGCCACCGCCCCTTCCATAGCATCCCCCTTGAATTGCGAACGTGCGTGATCATGCCACTTACGCTACGGTGCTGAAAATGCGCAGCCCTCCATCCGTGTTTCTGCCGACGCCTCCGCTGGGAACTAACATGGCAAACACATGTCCTGCTGAAATGTGCGACTGGACAAATCATGCCACGCACGCGCACGACACCGCAACAGCACGACTCGGCATCTCACACCCAGGCTCACGGGAAACACCCTGCGAGAGCACCTTTGGAACTACAAGCGCCCAACATCCAACAAGGTCTAGTGCTCTGGCGCGGGGAGGGCAGACACAATGCTGACAAACGCCGCAACCTTCCGCCGACATGCGAACGAGGCTGCGGACAGAGAGAGCGCATGGGATATCATCGGGCAGCCAGCTGAGAATGAGGAGCGCCAATCAACCACTGCCAGTCGGCATCCGCTCCGTAACAACTCACAATCGTTTAAAGAAGGGCTGACGTTTTGCATTGGCAAAAAAGCTGTCGCCACATCCAGCGTGCGAGAAGCTCCTGCTTCGCAAGGAACCCCGCAAACGAGTCGGAACGCCGCCAAACTCCAGCATGGCCCCGACGGCCACGGCGAAACAAAACAAGACTCTGGGGATGGAGTGGGGGGGGGGGCGTGGAGGAGACGATGGAGGCAGAGGGCATCAGGAGGAGGAGTCCCCTCGAAATTGGTAGCGTTCCGCCAGGAACCGAATCGCGCCACCCTCGAGAGGCGAGCAGGCTGTCGGGCTGTCAGGCTGATGAGGCGAGCGGGGCTGGCAATGACAGGCTGGCAGGCACACGCGCTGTCGGGCTGGCGAGGCGAGCGAGGCTGGCAATGACGCGTGTCTAGGCACGCACGGGCGGCCAGCCTGTAGGCGAGACCCTCGTCCTCCACCATCCGTCCACATATCTCCCTCTTGCCGTCCCGCCTAACCCCCAAACTCCACTTCTCATTCGCTATGCCCCCCCCCCCCCCTCTGAAACTACTCGCCTGGCTGCAGGGCCTCGACTTCGGCGTCGAGCTCAACTTCGGGCCGCAAATCCCAAGTGCGGGGGTGAAAACAATGAACGTGGGTGTGCCTTTGCAACGGGGCCGCCGCCGACGACTGGCCAAGCTCAAGCCCCTCCAGGCACCACATTTTGAGGCGCTGTCGGCATTCTGCCGACGACAGGCCCCTGCCCATATGCAAAGTTTTGACGCATTTTAAATCGCCCAGGGACCCGTCATCATTCAAATCTCGATGGAAGCATACAGCCTGCCAGCCAACGTGCACACCCTTCTCTCTGACAATCCCAAATGGCGAACGGGCCTCGGGTTCCCCAGCGCTCGGTTCCCCTCGGCGCGGGGCGCCCCAGGTACTCGGCCAGCGGCGGGAGGGCGCGGCCGCCTCCGCGACCTGGCTCTGCGCCAGCAGCCCCAGCACCGCGGCCGCGTCCTCTGCCAGCGGGCGCGGCGCCAGCGCCTCGGCCGCCTCCGTGATCAGGTGGATCAGGCGGCGGAGGAACCCCAGGCGCCGCGACTCCAGGGAGACCGCCATCATGTCCTATGGGGACATGGTTTCAAGCTTGAAAATGCCCCACCCCCCAGTCGGAGTTCCAGACAGAGCGCCAACGCCGTGAGAATACACAACAACACCCAAGACACCCCAACCTGGAACAACCTGACAGTGGCATGACACAGCTTTTCCCTGGGATATCCTGCCGCTGCTGGTGGGGGCGCCGCATCGCCGCCGCCGCCGCCAGGAACGCCGCCTCGGTCATCGGGATCAGCGTCGTCGCTCCCCCCGGACGCCGAGCCGAACAACTCGTCGTCCGACATCTGGGGCATGTCGTCGCCCGACACGACCTCGTCGTCGACGGGGCCGCTGACGTCAACGTCGGACTCCCGCTCGGGTTCAACCTCGATGCCAGCCGCGGCAGCTGCCAGGTCAGCATGCAGGTCCGAGCCCTCGGCTGGGTCCTCATGGTGGTCATCATCAGGAGCGTCAGCAATCGCCAGAGCGCCGCCATCCGCTGGCTTCGGGCGCTTCTTTGGGCGGGCCGCCCACCTGGCCATCTTCGGCGGTCTCTTCCGCCTGGAAAAGGGCCAGAACAAGATGTCCTCAGAGTCACCGAATGGAACGGCCCTGACGTCCCGACAGCACCACGCAGGCATCATCCTGGGCGCGTCGTCGATGCAATAGAGCTTCGCCTCGAAGCTCATCTTGTTGTCGAGCCGTGCCAGCTCCCCCATGACGTCGTGCAGCTCCAACTGCCGCGGGGTCGATCTGACAATGATACTGCCATCGGCGTCGTCGGTGGAAACCAACTCCAGCTGAGTCAGAGTGGGGGCCAACGGTGACCAGTACATGTGGCTCCAATGGTAGTACCCAGAAAACATGTCAAAGTTGTCAGCATCATCGGGGCAGCACCCGTCGATGCGGAACACGACGTAGGACTCGTCGATGAGCGACCGCTCAGGCGATCGGGCAGGACAACGCTCACTGAGAACCTTCACCATGAAAGCGTTCGTCATGGCTTGCCGCTTCTTGCCCTCATCACAACACACGCAATGCCCCAGCTGCCAGCACAGAGAGCCAGGCGGCTCCGTCGCCCCCACGATGTTCGGAGCTTGCTCATGTGTGATCAAAGACGCGCGCTTCTCGATGTTAGCGTCGACCTCCGAGACGAACCTGCGGGTGTCGACGTGCTTGCTCGTGCCCATGCAGAACGCGAGAGCGCGCGCTGCAAGCTCTCCCGAGGGGAAGGCCACATCGATCTCGTCAATGGGGCTCGGCGAGGCCACCAGTCCTTCCAAAAAGGCTGCGGGGGGCGGAGGCGCGGTGGGTGTTTGGACGGTGGAAAAGGACGGGCGGGGCAGGAGCGAACGTGGACGAGTAAGTAATTTACTCGTCCACGTTCGCTGACGCAAGGGGGAGATGGCGTGGCTGAATAGAGCGGTACTGGGGGAAAAGAATGCAGGCGCGAGTCGAGCAACGATTTGCGTTGCAATGGACCCCGCAGACGCGGGCAAGGCCGTTAGGGCAGTGACGGGGCGGACCTGGACGCGGTGGGAATAAAGGTTGGGTTAGAATAGCAGTCGAGGAGCGTGGACCTCCACAGGTCCGAAGCCCAAGTTTGCCCCTGACGGTGGGATACCAATTATGACTGGCGGATGGGGAGGGCAGAGTGGGCACGGGGGGCGTGGCGTTACGCAAACACCACCCCCCCGTCCAGTTGGCGCCGCATGGGGCACCAGAATCAGCGTGGCGAAGAACCCAACAACATGCAGGAGTGAATGCAGCAGCTGTGAATATCGACTTCGGTGGAGACACATACTGGGTCACGATCCTCGTGAAGGGGGGTGCTGAAATGGCCAGCGGCCGCCATGCGAACCCTGCCACTGGCGCCTTCGGTGGAGCTCGCTATGAGGCCACGCTGCTCGTGAGGGGTGTGCCGAACGTGCAAGATGCCGCCACGCCATTCCTGCCGCTGGCACCTCCGATGGAGCTCCCTGTCGGGCCACTGTCATCGTGAGGGGCGTGCCGAAATCGCCAGAGGCCGCCATGCGAACCCTGCCATTGGCGCCTTCGGTGGGCCCCCCCTGTGGGGCCACTGGCCTTGTGATGGTTGTGCCGAAATGGCCCGAGGCCGCCATGCGACCCCTGCCGCTGAGGCCGCCAGATGAGCTCCCATGGAGGCACGATTCTCGTGATGGGTGTGCCGAAATGGCCCGAGGCTGCAATGAGAACCTTGCCGATGAGGCCTTCGGTGAAGCTCCTTGTGGGGCCAGGTCCCTTTTGGTGGGTGCGCCAAAATGGCCCGAGGCCAACATGCGAACCCTGCCGATGAGGCCGTCGGTGGATCCCACCGCGGGGCCACGATCCTCGTGAGGCGCGTGCCGAATAGCCCGAGGCCGCCATGCGAACCTTGCCGATGAGGCCTTCAGTGGAGCCCGCGGCGGGGCCGCGACCCTCGTGAAAGGTGTGCCGACATGGCTCGAAGCCGCCATGCGAACTCTGCCAATTGCGCATTCGGTGGAGCTCCTTGTGGGGCAACGATCATCGTGAGGGGTGTGCCGAAATCGGTGTCGGCCGCCATGCGATCTCTGCAATT